AATCAAAGGAAGACAGTTTTATGCCACTTCCTTCCTTCTAATAAGCTCCCCCAAGTGACACTTATCAGCATTGCTCAAGGCTCAAGTACAGGACAAACCTCTGAAGAAAACTTGAGGACAATAAACTCCTGGATGGGAATGGGAAATAGAGCAGTCAAAATTCTGCTTTAATGCCATCGTATTATCTATCACAGAAAGTTAGCTGGTTATTTTATATACGTACACACATATATGTTATTTTGTGGCATTCACAGAGAGACCAACAACTAGATGACTTTTTTCTTGACTACCAAAGGTCCAAGTTACTTTAGCTAAACAGATGACACAACAATATTGATGCCTGCTCAAAAAAAAAATGGTAGTGGCACTTAGCAACCTACAAAAGCAGAAAGCAGAAGGCTACAGAAATTAAGAACAGATCTTTATTATTTTTTAACAAGTCTGGATAAATAAAAAGAATAGTCTGAGTTTCCTCCAACTGGAATAAAATTCCCATTTTCTTCATTCATACACTCAGCAATTTCAATGTCGCCTGAAGGTGCCACTCTGTGTTGTTTACTGCTCTTATCAAAACAAAATTCAAGAGCAGAAATCATCATAACATGAACATTACGTTGCTATTTGTTGCCATATGGGACTATTAAATAATCATTAACAAAAATAGCTTTGGAAAAAACAAAGCAATTCCTCAAATGCATCACAACCACCAAGGCAACCAGGCATATTACTGCAATAGAGATCAAGATCTTGGCTAAAGGAGAGCCATCCAAAACCAGTGAGTGGAGATCCAAACCAAAAAGACAGAAACACTCGTTTAAGTTTCCATTAGACATTAAATCCAAGAGAAGAAATGCTCCCCTTCAGTAATCCCAAGCTGTGTTTCAGTCTGTCTTTACTCCCAACTAACATTTTGGGTCAACATTTACCCACAAACAAAGCAAATGGGGACAATGAAGCCACTGCAAACTCCAGGAAAAAAAAAATCAATTTTATTTATTTTAATGAGGGAAGCTGAATCCCAGAAGTGGCAAACCAACAGCAATTAGACACTGGAAGCATATACCAAGGAACAAAGTAAAATAAATTCCTTGGAGTCCTCATCATTTTACACGTCCATACTGCATCCATGCATTAACTGGAAATAATATTACACAGAGTGTTATCTGGATTATCCGGCTGCCAGGAGAGAGACCGTGTGCTCTCAAAGACCGGGTCTTCTTTCCGCAATGACATTTTGGCCAGGATGGCACAAGGGGTGGGACTAGACGACGTCGCCACCTCCCGATCCTTGGAGTCCTCATCATTTTACACGTCCATACTGCATCCATGCATTAACTGGAAATAATATTACACAGAGTGTTATCTGGATTATCCGGCTGCCAGGAGAGAGACCGTGTGCTCTCAAAGACCGGGTCTTCTTTCCGCAATGACATTTTGGCCAGGATGGCACAAGGGGTGGGACTAGACGACGTCGCCACCTCCCGACCACAACCACCACGTAGCTACTTGGCCCTTGTCGAGTTCTCCAGCAGCAGAGGCAGCTGTGGAGCCCTCCCGGGAGGCTCCACAA